TCACCGCACATTACACACAAATGACTGCCATCCGCTCACTCTCCACCACCCATATGCTTAACACACGACCCCCCCCTTCACTCCTAAGAACACAAACGGGCTGTCTCTCGGATCAGGATTTCCCACCCCTCCCTTCATTCGCTCCGAATACATCACAAAACACTCTGACCCATCCCACCTCCAATTCCTTTCCAGCTTGAAATTATGTTCCTGCACAAAAACATTGTCTATTAGATAACGTCTAAAAAATCCCTTTAACCACAGGACGCTTTCTCACTCGCACACAATCATGTAATCTTCACTTGTCATGCACGGAACCTACTTATGTGTTTTCACCCTTGCCCTTTTCAACTTTCACTGATCACGCTTTCCTGTGTGGTCTGCTTCGTCCACTTTTCTCTCCAATGCCCACTGGTGCTTCCCCTTATCCAACACCTGACCAGGCGTACTTAGTGCTCCCACGCACCACATCAACCCATGGCTTTTTCCCCGGTCTCTGTGCAGAGTCAAAACATCATCAGGTCAGAATATTCGTCGCGCCATCTTACGGTTGGACCACACTCTGCATCCCATTTCCACTCACTGATGCCTCCTGTGAATCTCAGCAGTCTCCTCAATCAACTTCCACCACTCCTGGCGGAGTCTCTGCCATGTCGCCAATCTTCCAAGTTGCTCATTTCAATCTGAACAGTACTCCTCACCATACTCAAGTTATCCTCTCTCTTCTCAGGCAAACCTGCTTCTCTAAAGGATTTTTCCTGCACGTTCACCAGTAGCCTTCCTCTAACGCTCGTCACCATATCTGCACAGTCATCCCGTTCTCCATGCAGTTGCCTCACTTCCCACAACTGTGACAGTTGATGGCTGGTACCCACCAGTGGCAGCTCAGCTCACTTCCTCACTCACAGGAAGTGCCAACGTCTATGTACGGTGCTCATCAGGTATAGTGGTGCATGACCCCACCTCTGGTTCTGGCTCTTCACCATCTCACTAACTAGGTCCTTTCTCGCTGCCATCTCCCACACTGGGCCGCCTATGGTATATGCACACATAACCTTACACGTCTTCTGCTGCCCAGCGTTGTACACCATTACCTGTGTCCTTATTGCGCTCCATGTATAAGTATCAAAGCAAAGGCGGGGAACGGGATGGCATTGCTCAACTCATCTTGATCGTGAACGTACATCCGGCAAACCGGCATACGACCATCCGTCACATTTAACAGCCATAGCAGGTGCGTACAGGTCCCCTGTTCAAATACATACCGAGATCATTATCGTCCGCCCTCAAATGGCACATTTCGGATTTTCACCCATGGTGTAATGCTTAGACACATCGATTAGGCGTACACGTATCGTGAAGTTAACATCCACGCTCCTGTCTGGTACTTGATCAACCAGCCGTACATTACACTCCAGCTGAACTCACGCTATGACCGAAATTTCGATAGGCACCATTTAAGTGCCACCACCATAACAGTTCTTTATCCCGCAACCACCATAGGTTAGTCACGGATAATTTGCGGTTTTAAAAGCACTTGGGTCATGACTGAGGCGTTATTGCACCACGCAATAATTCAATGCACACCGTGTGCAAACGCCTTCTCACAGACTGCGCCATGTTGTGAAAATATGTCTCCTCCAATGGCCAGCAGAGGGCAGTAGTCACACGTCCGCACTCTGCGCAGGTCAAGCGGCGAAATGACAAGGTAATTAAGAGTACTCTAAGATAGTAAATGTGGTATTAAAACTGGTAAAGGTTAATTAGACAAGTAATGGTTATTAAATGTCAAAAATGTTAAGAGTAAATTGAAATTATAGTAAAAATGATAATTATTAATTTTAGTAAGTAATATCAATTGATAGTATTTAAAAAATATGAGGTAATATTATGACAGAGACAAGTATCAATTCAGCTAATGTTTAAGCAAAACAATAGTAAGATAAGGGAAAAATTAATAAGGTGACTTTGCTTACTAGTAAAATCACAAAATGAGGTAGTTGATTATTTAATTACTAATGAGGATTGTACAATGAAATTTGAACAATAATGGAACAAAACTATTCACTTACACTACGTAGGCTTTTAGGTTGGACATTGTTTAGTTATTTCTGAAGATTAGTATCCCTGAGAAATCGTGTGATAGATCATTTCTCCGTTCGTATTGTGTACAGTTGACCTCATTTGTTTTTCCAACAAGAATTTTCCATCTCGTGTGAAGCATTGGTGTATTGGGACATTCTCCGCTTAAGTTTTCTGACTCGATTAAAGGTGGTTCTGACGTTTTTGGTAAGACACTCGTTTATGTTATACCTCTTTCTTACTTTAATAGATTGCAATCATTATATCTTTTTTCCTGTCCAGTGAGTGGAATCTAAGCATAACACATTTTTCTACCATGGGATCCTAGTAACCTGGTTCTTTTATTTCTGACTCTGTTACAATAACACTTGTTTGGTTCCTTTTTGATCTGCCAGAGTAATTTCTTTACTGTTTGGTTCATATCACTGGGAAAAAGTGGACTGTTAAACTATTACTGCGTCCTGTAGTTTATCTTGTTCAGTTTTATCTTCTTGGAGAGCAAAAAGTAGTCACTGAACTGGTTATCTAAGTTGTTCTTCCATTCTTTTACTGCTTCTTCAACCTTTGTATTAAGATATTATTTGTTGGGTATGGCTATCTATGACTGCTTGGATGGTCTTGTCACAGTTAGTCATTCCTGGTGTTGATAACTTTTGTTCAAGACTGAGGATTTTGTTCTCGAGTTGTGTCATCCTGGTGTCTTGTTTTGTTAGCGTCTCTCGAAGATTCATATTTTCAATAACTAAGTTGGAGATGTATGTTTTTAGGGTATCTGGATCGTTGGCCATACCTGAGAGACTACTTGGTAGGTTGAATCCGGGGATGAGAGGGGAGGATGGGCTGGTGGCAGCCATGTTTGTTGTTATTGTTGTGGTGTCGCCTTGAGCAGTGGTGAGTGGGGTGGTTGCTGGGCCGGGCCGTCCTCCTGACTACACTTGGTTGAATGTTTGGTTTTTCGGTGTTTTTTTAAAATGGCCTTGGTTCTTGTTTCCTTTTTGGTTGGGCGCTCCTTTATCAGGGAATTTTGATTTGAATTTTATTATACAAACCCAAAAGGGATTTCCCCCTGGGGGGGTTTTTCTTTTCGGGTTTGTGGGCAGCCCTTCCCCTAATGACCCCCCCTCTTTTTTCGATTTGTGGGTTTCACTTTTGGGTAATCTTTGGTCATTCTGGGTGCTACGTTGGGTAGTGCAGTTTTGCTTGTAACTAGGTCATCATAGGAGCATTGGTAGCTCTGATTGTTGGAGAAAAGTACGGATTATTATTATTATTATAATCAAGGGGGAAGCGCTAAACCCGGAGGATTATACAGCGCCTGGGGGGGATGTGGAAGGCATTCAGGCTTAATTCGGGGAACTGGAGCACAGATCCAATTCCCTAAATCAAGAGCCCCTCACCAACATCAAGGAACCTTCCTTGAGGGGAGAAAAGTACGGAGCTTGGAAGTCGCTGCTGCCGCTGCCGCTAACCCAGCAGTATCTCCAAGAAATGCCGAAATTTTTCATGTGCCCATTTCAAATAATGGTGGCTTCAAACTTGATAAACCAAGCAGCCATTCCTGCCTCATCACTCCTCTCCATGCTAGTGAAGGGCTCTTGATCCAAGGAATTGAAGCTGCCCTGTTCTTGAATCAAACCTGATTGCATCTCATTTTCTAGGTGCTTTACATTTTTATTAGGTTAGGTTAGGTAAGGTTCGTCAGGAAACAGGACAAATGTTTCCTGACGCGGGTCTTAGTCAGATGATGACCCGCCTTTGGAGCTTTTGGTCATCTGACCGAGGCCTTCCGCTGGCTTACCGGTCCACCCCTTTAAAAATTATGGTCATTTATAACCATTGTTACTATGTGTACATTTTTATTATGATCATAATTAAGCGTTATAGGTGCTTTACAACCCTCACGGGTTTAGCGCTTCCCAGAAACACGAGGTTTAACACTCGTGAAAGTAATCCCCTCGAGGGGATTAGCCCCTCAAAGGAGGCCACTTAAGGGGATTATAATCAAAATTAGGCGCTAAATCTCCAGGAAAATACAGCGCTGCTCCTCGAGGTTAGGGTTGAGCTATAGCTCCCTCATTTGTCTAGGGAGTATAACTACATTATTATAATCAAGGGGGAAGCGCTAAACCCGGAGGATTATACAGCGCCTGGGGGGGATGTGGAAGGCATTCAGGCTTAATTCGGGGAACTGGAGAGTATAAGAGATAAGATTTCGTTCGGATTTTTAACCCCGGAGGGTTAGCCACCCAGGATAACCCAAGAAAGTCAGTGCGTCATCGAGGACTAACTTATTTCCATTGTGGTCCTTAATCTTGTCCCCCAGGATGCGACCCACACCAGTCTACTAACACCCAGGTACCGTATATTTGCTGCTAGGTGAACAGGACAACAGGTGTAAGGAAACGTCGAAATGTTTCCACCCGCCGGGAATAGAAGCGGGAGCTTTAGCCACCGGGCTACAGCTGCGCTGTTTCTTGATAGCCTGGAGATTCAACTTGTGCCTATTATTATTATAATCAAGGGGGAAGCGCTAAACCCGGAGGATTATACAGCGCCTGGGGGGGGGATGTGGAAGGCATTCAGGCTTAATTCGGGGAACTGGAGCACAGATCCAATTCCCTAAATCAAGAGCCCCTCACCAACATCAAGGAACCTTCCTTGAGGGGACTTGTGCCTATTGCTTAGGATAATGATAATTCAGGAATGTTGAAGCCGTAGGGGGTTATTCTGCACAATGATTTTAGTAACTTATTATCACAACTAAGCGCTATTAGAAATGTTTAAAATAATAATCTTCAAAAAAAAACGGCTGTATTTTTATAAAGTGCTACTGATTTCAGTACCAGTTGCAGTTCGCATTTTTCATTCTGAGGTTAGGGAAAGAATTTTCTTGTACATTAAGTTTATTATTCACAAGGAGTATATAATACGTTGATTTTTTCCTCATTTACAGATGAGAAACGGGCATCTGCAGTAATATGCGGCTGTTATAAGTTGTAGCAGCTGGTGGTTGGGACGCTGCCCGCTGTGTCTAGTTACATTACTACATCTGCGTGATTAAGACGCTGCCCTTCTTATCCGCTTTGTACAGCCCAGCTGGTGTCGACTGCCTGTTTACAGCTGGTGACGACGACGACGCTGCATGTTTGTCGCTGGACAGACCAGCTGGTGACGTCCTCTTTTCCCATCAACTTTCATACGTGGTAAACTATTTACATTAAAATCATTTTGCTCACACAGGAGATCCTTGCGTGGAACACTGGCAGATTTACAGCACGGGATCCCACCAAAATGAATGTACTTAGGTAGTAAAGACAATTAGCCACACCTGCCAAGACTCACTATGGTCATTGCAGAAGGAAAGGAGACACTTTTTTTTTTAAACGTCTTCAGCACTAAGAAGGAAACAGTGCTTGGGCGAGAGGAAAGGCATGGGGAAAGGGTTTGGGGAAGTAGTCATGAATACCTGTATGAGCCGTTTCTTCGAAGGAAATGTAATTATTATACTAACACACGGAGGTGTGCAGTGCAAGTGAAGATGTGGTGTTAATGTTTACTATAAGTTAGTGAGAGGGAGTAAACACGTGTCAAGTGCACCCGAAAGAAAGATATAATTAAACCAGTCGCTGAACTCAAACCCAGAAAGGAAAATTTTTACTGACAAAATACCAGAAAAAAACGTACTAACCAGTACACAAAAAGAGCATGAAAATTGAGATTTCCTACCTTTTCTTTTTTTAAGCTATTTAGGCGGCATTGTTTTAAGTGGCGGATTTACAATTTCCCTACACCTAACCAAATTTTATATTAAAAGTTCCGTGTCAAGTGTTACATTGTCTGTTCCTTGACTGGAGAATTCTACATTCGCCTCTAATAAATACTTCAACTAATGGTAGAGAAACAAGCAGTTTCCTATATAAAGTGGTTTCTAAAACAAAATTGTGATAAATGTTATTTCAGATGGGTTCGTCGAGTTACCGGTGGGGGGGGGGGGAGACTAATTATATATAATTATCGATTCAGGCAGTATTTCAGCAAGATTTTAACGTAATTTGGCACCAGAATAAATACGAAAATGTGATGCCTTGTTCCTTCAAACGTTGTCAGCGAGTGAAACAGAATTAAGATATTTCTCGCACAAGTACCATAACCTTTCTGCAAAGTAACCTGCAAAGTAAAAAGCTGTTTTGAAAGTTTGTATGTCAACATTACGAAGACGTAAGTATACGTGCATCATGAAGGTATTGTATACATATATCATACGAGTAAGCACAGGTGGTGGCATGTTGAAATAGGAATGAACGTAGATTTGTAAAGGCGACGAGAACAACCAAATAAAAAAAAATGAAATAAAACTATTGGGGGATCGGCGTAGAAACAGGCATAACAGAGCGTTTAACTATACAATGATGCAAACAAGTAATTATAATAGTTGTAACAGTAACTGGTATAAAAATACAGACGAGGTGTAAATGATTCCACTAAAAGAGAGTAACTGTGTAAATCATCTGGACACTTGAAAAGGATTGCCACTTAGTCGAAACCTTTTCTGAATAAAGTTCCCAATGACTGCCCTTTAGTGTATCATCTTTTGTAAATGTAAAAAAAAAAAAATTACAAATGAGTCCAGATGATGCAGTGATAGATAAAACTGGTTTCCTTAATTTGTACAGTATGAAAGTATTTTTCAATTCTTACATCATTTAAAGACTAATACCATAAAATACAATAACGGTCACAGTGGAACAAAGTTTTGTCAGTACATCAACCTGTCTTGTTCAAGACCACATTATTAACCTACCCAGATATTGTACACTAATCGTGTACGGGGTAGGAACAGAAAATTGCTCCATTGTAATAAACCAATAATATGCTCCTAGAAGATATTTTCCAAAGGACTCTGGTAATGTGATACTATATTTGGTCTTCAGAGGCGCGTTTTCTAGACTAGAATTATCTTTGGAAAGTTCTGTTTACCTTATCAGCACCATTATCATCATAGCACCTATACAAACCACTAGGATGGAGAGGGAGTAAGCACTGGCTTCTGACGTGATCACAGAGTCTTGGAAGGTGTCACTGACTATCGCAACATCAGAGGGTTCTGCTACATAACGTCTACTTCTTTCCTGGCGGTCTAGGTGGTCATGGTCAGGGTGGGCATCGTCTCGGGGATGTTCGGGCTTAAAGTCCAGGTCGTCGCGAGTTAAGATAGACCAAACGTCCTTCAGGATTGTCAAATGCGTCTGGTTGGTTGCTGCTGAAGATACAGCGGTGGGAGATAGTGTCGAGTTGCGCATCTCTGTTATTCTTGGGTATTGTCTGACTGAAACAACGACATTGTCCCCAACGTCGGCAGACAATTTCCCAGAAGTTAGGAGGGCTGCAGCAATGGGAGGATCATTTTGAGGATGTGCAATAGTAATTGGTCGAGGGGCGCTACCGGAAGGAAGGAGATCAGTTTTCAAAGTGCTACTGACACCATGTGGTGATGGTAGAGCGATGGTGGTACGATGGCGGAAGGGGCGCCTCTGGCGAGAGAATTGAGTCAGATGTGGCACGTGTGCCGGCACTGGAGGTGGGCGATCTCCTCTAAAAGGTCCAATTTTGGGCCGATTGATAATGGAGGCTACGGTACGTCGGATGCCTGTTGAAAACTGTGGAGGCGTAGGCAGTGTATCGGGTTCTAGAGGCCGACCATCTGATGTGAACACCTGCGCTGATTCAGCTACCATCATGTCTTCACCGTCGTCGTGCTCTAGAGGAAAGTTGATCAGCACTGGTTTGAAAACTTCAGGTCCAACAAGTTGTGGGAAGGGAACGGTATGGTCGTCAGGGAGGTGAACCATAGCTGTTATGCGGCGCATGGATGGCTTCTGAACTTGTGGCTTTCCCATACGGTCCACTCCCCCTGACGGCCTCACCGACCCGTCATGTATTTTTGGGCCATTAGGGTTTCGGTTAGAGTCGTGTTTTATAAGCTTGTTAGGAAAAAATGGACGGTTAGATGCAGCCCCTCCTAGTCGCGGCACTATTCGAGCCATTGGTACAGGAATGGGGACTGGGGGAGGATTAAGGCTCTCACTGAACATCACTGAATCATGGAAGATAGGATTTGGAAAGTGTTTTGACCGTTTTTCGTTTGGGATTTCGCTAGCGTCTTCGTCATGGGTTTCGTCCGTATCGTCGTCAATCTTTATACGTCTTTGGGCGAAACTTACAGAACCTGAGGTACGTGGGCCAACAGGCCGCTGCTGGAAAGTGTGTTGAGGCGGGTGTGGCGGGCGCGGTACTCTGATTGGCATGACGTCAGATGAAGACACCTCGAAAGCCAGCAAAGGGCCAGCAGTTTTTTTCTTAATCGGACGAAAATCTGATTCGTAGACGACAGACTCCGGGTCGAAACCAAAGTTCTGAGCGAAATTTTCATCCAAAGTGGTGACTGATTCTTCAGTGGTGCGTGTAGGTGTGGTAGTAGTGGCTGAACCCATATTGATGGTCGTCTGCCTTCCTGAAAAAGGCTCCTGGAATGCTGATGAAACCTGACTAGGAAGCCGAGGGAGTGACGATGCAGTTATAACCTCGGGCTTGCGGTAATGTGAATGATGTGATATTTGTATCCCATATGTATGAGCTGGATTGGAAATCCCACTGGATTTAGGTGGAGCATTTCGAGTGATGGGCTGTTGCTGTTTGATAGACATTGTAAAAGGAGTAATGGGTTTTACTGACGTCGGCTGCGTAGAGCGTGTCGTTGGTTGGTAGGATGTAGGAAGTTTCGGGGATGTCCAGTGTGTCTTCTCTAATTTTATGTGTGTTAAATCTTGTTTTGGCTTTAAAGACACTTCCGAAATGATGGCAACTGTAGTCTTCACTGGTGTTGACGGGCCGGTGGGACCATTAAAAGTTTGAGAGGAAGAAGATAGTGAATACTCAGGAGCAAAAGTATACCCAGGTGGTGGTGTTAAAGTTGCGGAGAGAGAAGTGAAACGTGTTGTCGATGGGGTTGGCACTGGAGAGGACGGGTACTGGTTACCAAGTGGCTGGATTGTTAGTCCTCATGTTTATCACGTGGAAACAACAACTCTCCCTTCTGCAACCCAAAGAACGCTTCAGGAACGTCCCTTGGAACGCTACCCAAGTTTACGTTACCCATTTTAGCAAATGCAGTGGCATTGACTATACCTGTGTTTTTCTTTAGATTAGGCAATTTGGGAAATATAAATCCTGGCACTCCCAGTGGGACGTTTGGTGGCGAAGAATGAGTTTCTGAAGGTAATGAATGAGAAGTTGGCCTCTGACGCAGTGGACCAATGTCGTCAGGGCTCATACTAAAGGGAAAGCTGTCAAAGCCGGCATGGAACTCTTTTGGACGGTTGACGAATGGACGATCTTCAGGGAATCTTTGGTCTCCTAGCTCTGACTGTGGTCTGGGCAGTCTAGTTACAAAAGTCTGAGAAGGCTTGTGAGCAGCCCCTGGAGAGAGCTTGTTAGTGGTGTATCGGGAGCCAGCAGGCACTCCACCGCCTCGCACGTCATAGTTATAGTCATAGTTGTCGTAGTCTGCAAGGTACACAGTCAGAACAAGTCAAATGATTTAGGATTAGTTTTATAATTGTAAATGCCATACGCAAAATGTAAAAAAAAAATATTTAAATTACTTTTAACACATTACAGTGAAGTGCAATGCTTTTTTGATTAATGCTCTGTAATTAAAATAACCTGAGAATATATTCTTACCAGTGACGTTATCGATGTTAGTCATCTAGTGTGAAGAATATTCAACGTCAAAGTTATTTCCCGTTGTAGGTTTCCGTACGATGCAAACATACATGACAGGGAATGGAAGATCAGAATGACAGTAAAGTCAAGGAATTCCATCTGATGTATGTTAAGTGTTGAAAGATCACGTAGAACATTTTACTAGTCAGTATACCTAAGAACCCAGGTTCTCTGGCTAGTTCTGACTTTACGAGAAGTGGAGATTTCCAGAGTCGGAAAATTAGTCTACTCCTACTCCTTAATATGGTATATTCAACAACATGTTTATGCCGGCGTCCCTATTTTCCGTGTAGGTGACAATTCCCATCTTTGTAAGTCTTATCATTCTGTTTTGAAGTTATATGAAAAGAGAAGTAAATTATTTCCATGAAATTTGTCTGCTACAGATATCATTTGATAAAAGCCATTAACTGTCCTCGTGACATGGAACATTGACAGCTTATACCCGTGTAATATTTTCTTCCTCTCATTCATGTTTGGTAAACGGATTATAACATCTGTGGTAGCTAGACAATATGAAGCTTATGGCATTTGAGACAGTTTCGCCCACCAGGACTGATAGTCTCTGGTGGAAGAAAAGTCTTAAATGCCATGAACTTCATGTTGTCTTTTACCTCATACTCATTTATAACTTTTGTTTCTTTGATATTAGCATCTTGGTCTGTTAATTCCTGTATTACTGGGGGATACAGCTTTTGCTATTTAGGGTTACTTTTTCCACGGGCATAAATATTCTCGTTGAAACCTAATTTTAATAAAACAGTTGTTGGACTGATACTTACATGTGGCAGTGGCGAGGGAGAAGGCCTTACCCCGATCACTTAAATGTGATCAAGAACACCAATTGTATTCAGCAGCATGACCAAGACTACCGGAAGATTTTGCAACGACTTCATATTCCAGTTGCAGGGGACAACTTACATCACCTTTCAAAGCTATGTCATGCTTAGTTTTGAATGTTAGAAAAAAAATGGATAGCTAACAGCAGTATTGTTAGGCGAGGGATGGAGTGAAGTTACGTCACAAGTTATGTCAAGTGGCATACTCAGGGACAACCCGTCACAACTGAGCAACAGAACCATGTCAAGACGGTAAGATCACGTCGTGTGTCAGTCGTGCAGTTAAGTGTAATAATGTTAAAATCAGATGAATATAAAACTTTTAGGAAAAAGTTTTTTTTTTCAGTCGAGTCTGTAGATTCTACAGCAGGGTAGGTAGATCAGCAGGAGACCTGTCAGTCTGGTTCAGTTCACGAGAAGAAAACTATTTTTCAGGGAGAGCCTTTTTATTTTACGAGGTAGTGGGAAAGGGGGCAGTGATATTTTTAAACTGGCTTTCAAAAACACAAACAAACCATATCAGTGGCTAAAGCGTTTCTTGCGTTTACCGCTTTATAATACTTGCAAGCTTTTCCCCATTTATGGTTTTTGCAGTTAGACCTTACAGCAAGCAGTTATTTCCCTCGAGTTTGCATAGTTTCTTTGTAATATTCATCATTGTGTTCAGTTATATATGGAGTGTGCATTTTTTTTAACCCGTGACTTTTCAACAGAACACCATGTTAATTCTTGTACCTGTTGTAAACATGCTTTTCTCCTCACCATTAACATTAAGCTTTGTCTTTAGTTACGTGTTATTTTTTGTTCACATTTGTTTTGAAAGCTCAGACACCTGGTAGTTTACTGGTAAACACTATACTGCAAGCTTTAAGAACTCCTAATGATCCTGCAACACTTGAGTTACAGCTCCATTACATTGGATCCTTTTAGGGACAAGATAACTACGATGTTCCTTAGCCAATAATGTAAATGGGACCGATATATAAAATTCAGGATCAAATGTGGCTTCAGGACCAGAAACTTCATATTAAACTAGTTTACAAGGAATGTTCCAAAAATACCAGGGGTAGATGTAATTTTCCTACAGTCTTGAAACATTCCATAATCTTTGGATCGGGTATCCTAGGAACATCTTTAATAACGGATCTAGGGCTCTTAGAAACAGTAAAGTCTCCATTAGGCTCTGGAATCTTCAGTATCTGCAGCATTTCCATGTCTACATAGGTCAAGGTTTCTGTGAAAATTCACGACCAGGTATCTAGGGGTGTGAGAAGTATTACGTTGAGGTTAACGTGTAGCAGGATAACCAAGCACTTGTCAACACTGGCACCGAGACTGACATGAAGCCTGGTAATGTTTCGTGAGAGAAAGTTGGTTCAAACAATTGTGCACTTTTGTGATGGTGCTTGTTAGGTAAAGGAAAGTATATGCGGTGTGACTGCGGTGAAGAATATTCTTACTTCACAGACTAAGAAGCAAAGGAGACACTAAGCTAGTGTTGGTTTGAGGCGGTTCGACATTGTGACCGTTATTAGCCTGGGTTTGAGACTTGTGCCGCTCATTGGTGTTTAAAATAACGTATGTATGTTGCAGACGTTAAGGTAAGGCGGCGTGTTTAAAGGAATGGCGTGTTGTACGAGTAATAAATTTTCGCAATAGCAGGGAGTGGGGTGGAGGCAGAGATGGTGTCTGTGGTGGTGTGGTGGTGGTAGCAGGCTGTTGAAGCGGCAGTGTGACAAGGAGTCAACACTGAAGTCATAAGTTAAAAGCTACAAGGCCCAAGGCAGCAGGAGCGAGGGTGAATGAAACGCTAGGAGGAGGAGGCTGGGTTGGCCAGTCACCAGAGTTTCTTTACAAAAGGACACCGGTACATCCACCAAACTATACTAACATAAAACTAAGGGAAACAATAAATGCATGTATAAAATAGTTTCAAGCAGTCAGCATGGCATTCTCCACCATACAGTAAACATTAAGTTCAAGAACATTTTAAATTAATGAAGTCGCTACAGAATATATTGTATGGAGTTATTATCTACTTTTAAAAGTGTCAAGGCTAACAGTGAACTTTTGAATTGACTGCAAGTGTCAAAGCATAACTAGTATTATTCACTTTTACACAATTCTGAACAAGATAAAGAATACAGGAATTCTAATTTCATATAATACATTACTAAAATGTAAAATGTTCATACTCACGTATATACGAATATAATCCAAACACACACACAAACACACACACACACACACACACTGGGGGCACTCCAGAAAGATGAATTAAACACCCAGACATGTCAGTAAACAGGTGCCCGGGTGTAAGTTTACTGTTGTGGGTTTATCTTTGGGTTAAAGTTCAAATAAAAAATGACGGGACATCAGGAGTGCATATCTGCTCAAGTAACAGGAAATCACACTTCCTCTCACACGTGTACTCTGGCAACTTACGGTCCTACGAGTGAACACTCACCAGGTTATGCTATCTTCAGATAGAAAAATAATCTTGTCATAAGTCTTATTTTTTTTTCTTTTGACAATATACATGCAGATTACTTCAAGATAACAGCACTTGCAGTAAAAGTATACATAATATTGTCTGAAAGTAAGACTGACTTGGTTACGAAAAAAAATGAGTTGTTAATTCTAATTAATCCGACAAGCCCCGTGGGATACCCTACACCCAAACATAATATGGAACGTTTAGAGATTAAGCGAATTCCTGTCTTCTTTGGTTTAGTGAAATATATACATTTTTTACAATTTTCTTCAGATTAAGCATTTCAGTAATGCCTAATTGTTTATACGGGGAAAATTAAGCTGACAAATCCCTTCTGCACTTCCAACGGCTCTACTTCTTTCCACTCTTAAAAGAAAGAATAAAGGCTAGTGTATGGAATCCTAATGAATCTTAAGTTTAGTTGATAGACTTACTTGTCACTGAAGAGCAATTATATCAGTAAAAGTTAGCTTTTTAACTTTCGAAGTTACCACCTTAAGGATTTATTTTGTCGTGCGCAATACATGCGCCCCGTATTATCGTTATTTGTAATACAAGTAACAGTTTCATCTACGGTTTTAATACTTGTGCGATTATCAACTATAAGTATACCTAAGAGTGAATAGTTGTGGTGTATATTATCACTGGTAAGCAGAGGCCTCATGGAGACCATCTATGAAAGGCCGAGTATATTCGCATGGCACATTCACTCAAACTTGTACACAGGTATACTCTTAATCAGTCGGCATGTAGCACGACCCTCGGGATTTAGAAAAGCATGGTGACCAGTGAGGCAGCGAGCACCTGTGGTGAGCAAGGTGGGTGGGGTTAATGAAGCTGCGTACCTGGGCCGGCGGCGGCCTGAGACCCCGGCACTACCACGGCCGACGTTTGAACTGACCCAGCAGTTGCCAGCTTGTCTTGGTCGCAGCTGTCGTGTACATGGATCTTCCAACCCAGGTAGCGGTGAGTGTAGCACTGAAACATTGAAGATTGTTAGCCGAGCAACCCTAGTTCAACAGAAATTTAAACCTTAGTTCAATGTTTGATAGTAATTTAATTACTGGTCTATAACATGTAGACAACTGTAGAGTTTAAAGCAAGAAAGCTAGTGGATAAGTAAATGTAAAATTGATTTATACTAGTGGAAATTCCCTAAATGGCTCGGGAGATGATGAGGATTACTGGTATATAAGGGAAGGTTAACCGAGAGGATGGGGGGAAAGATGGAAGAGACGGGGCATACGAGCAGAGATGGTTGTTTTCTACTCTTACCCTACATCCTTAGTCAAATTCTTTGCTTTGGTGGGTACATCAGCATTCCTGTTCTCTTTAATTGAACCATCACCATTATAAAACTGGCTGAAACTTGTCTTACGTTGGAAAACTCATTTTTGTTTAACGAGGACGAGTCAGTTATTCTTATTTTCTCCATGACAGGTTTACCAAGCATTTCTGAGCTGCCTGGTCTACTCCAACGAAGCTCACTCCTTGTTTTCTCTAGAAAATATCTTGGTAGGTAAGACACACAAGAAACAGTTAGGCAACTTTATTCCGTGTGATGAATGGTTTGAAAAACCGACAAGTTGAAGATTGAGACACTTATGCAACATATGGGAATCTTATTCAGGAAAAGTTTCACCACACAGTGGCTTCATCAGTCCAATACAAAGTAGAAAGGCGTAAGTAGAGAAGTTTCAGGTAATCAGTCCCTCAGCCTGGAGTCGATTCATCACAACTGTCAGACGCTACAGCATCATGGGATCTTGTTACAAAGAATTCTTCAACACTTGTCCAACCTTTGGACGAAGACCTACTTCGACTAGTGGATGATACCACTATGACCCCGCCGCCTCCTGCTTCACCTCACCTCACTACAGCATATAAGCCACGTCTACGGCCCTATGCTGTACATTCTACAAGATTGATGGACTGAACACATCGACTCCAGGCTGAGGGACTGATTACCTCAAACTCCTCCTCTCCTTACGCCTTTCTACTTTGTATTGGACTGATGAAGCCACTTTGGCGAAACGTTTCCTGAATAAAGATTCCCATATGTTGCGTGTCTCAATCTTCAACTTTATTCCGAAACGTTTCTTATACACAGTAGGCTTCTTCAGTCGAATACAGAAAGTAGGCAGTAGAGATGCGGAGACGATGTAATCAGTCCATCACCCTTGAAGTCGTAGATTTGAGGTTGTCAGTCCCTCAGCCTGGAGAAGTTCAGTTCCATTGTCAGGAACTATCTGAAGATCAAGCGACAGTGCGGAGACTTAAATACTGTCGGAAGGAGAGGTGCAGAGTAGTAGTAGTAGTAGTAGTAGTAGTAGTAGTGAGAATGTAGCCACTGAGAGGTCACGTCCCTCTCAGATCAAACAATTCTCACTTGTAAAAGTTGTCCAAGGTGTTTTCTGTACCAAGATGCCATTGTGTTGCAGTGTCTGACAGGGTGAATATCAAAATGGTATACAATACCGACAGGTTGGTAGGTAAGACACATAGGCAACAGTTAGGCAACTTTATTCCGAAAAGTTTCGCCTACACAGTAGGCTTCTTCAGTCGAATACAGAAAGTAGGCAGAGATGCGGATCCGATGTAATCAGTCCAACACCCTGTACTACCTATTTCATCCCCAGATTTTTTTTTTTTTAAGAATAAAGTCGTTGTTATTTAATTTTTTTTTGTATATACGTTCACCTTGAAACTCTTTCTACATGGTGACAGTTTCCTCAATCCTTTCGACATCTCTCCACACTTTTTTGCACGTTTTGGAGAGCCTTGTTCTACACGACAATAAAGGAGGGAGCTAAATTCTCAAGACAACAACAAAGAGCCTTAATCAGAATCTCGTAGAAGCATATCTTACAAGAAAGGCTGTTAATTTTAGACCTCACCTGGTAGTAGACCGTATCCGGCGTATTTACGTCTGGAGTCCACTGAAGGATGCCGGGCTGGCCCTCTTGACAGTCTAGTTGCAGGGTTCTCTGGTAGGCGCCGAAGGAGGTGAAGTCGTTGGCTGGTTTGTTGGGGTCTTCCTTCCACTCACAAAGGCGGCCGTATGCAGTGGGTACCGGGTTACCGTCCCTATCCTGCTCCACTCCGGCCAGTACTTTAATGCGCTGTAGACATTCACCATTGTATCAACTAGTGCGTAAAATCAACATTAAAGTTTCTTAGCATCTAGTACTTAATTTAAACTCAAGTTTATGTATCTACAAAACGTTAATATAAAAATAATTAGGTACGATGGTCTTTTGGGGGAGGGGGGGTAGAAGGGATATCCAGCTGTATCGAGTTCCTCTCCCAGGTGAACTTTGGGAGATGACGGGGGGGGGGGAGGGGATTAAACTTTTCAATTGTATCTTTAGGGATGGATAGAAGTACAGGTGTACACAGTGCTCTTTCAGTACTCACGGATCGCTCGGCTGGCGTTTTGTACTCATAGCCACCCTCTGGGTCGTCGGTGATGTAGAAGGGATGGTAACGGGAGGGGTTCTCTGGGTCGTAGCCTCCCTCCACCACGAAGGTGTAAGTCTTACCCCTCACTACATGGATCTCCGGAATCAACAGCCCGTTGATGAACCACGAGATCCCCCACCCAACGTGCCCTAAGGAACAAGTTAATATATTTATATGCTTATTGCTAAGCCCGTGTGGGTCATTCAGCTTAAGTATAAAGGTACAAACTTGCTCTCATGCTTCCTTTATACAATAAATATCGGGCATAGCACTCTTATAAAAGAAAAAATGAAAGCTCACACCTCGGGCTACATTCCATTGGTATACAACATGCAAGCAAAATATGTCATCACACGCATGCAATATATATATATATATATATATATATATATATATATATATATATTATATATATATATATATATATATATTAGAAAAAAAAAAAGGTAAAAGTCAGGTGATAACCTGACGAAAGTCAGGTAGGCTGGAGTAGAGTATATGGCATGTCCTACCATTGACTAAATCGGGGTTTAAAAAAGCAACATTAGCTTTCAGTTTCTAAGATTAATTTTAATAGATGCTGCAGCTAAAGACTATGATGGCCTGAGCATCACACCTGCTCTAGTAGGTAATTAACACATGATAGCATTCCCATTTTACCTGTGATAGCGCTATAACCATTGTTGCCTCCAGTGGGTCCGATCTGAGCATAGAAAACTCCGTCTTCAGGTTCGTGGCAGGGAATGGGGGGAATGTACCAAGGGTTGGCTGCTGGAGGTGCCTGGGCGGGTCTAATGGAACCCCGGGAGGGGTTAACAGAGCCTCTGGAGACAGCGGTGCTACTTTTATCGTTATCTTCCTCTGGCAGGGGACAGTTCCACTTTGGTGTACGCCCGAAATCTACAAACATGTCACCTGGGATAAAAAGATAAAAAATAGTTAAATCAATCTGTATAACCACATGTGAAATTAAAGAAGAATTTACAGAATGAATGAATTTTTCTTAAAGACTTCTCAACTTACTTGCAACACGTTAAAAAATGTCAAGAGCACTCGACACACCTTGCAATGGAGGCAAAAGCATGATGAACTAATGAGAACAAAGCTTAGCAAATTCTGGCACTTTGGACAAGTTCAATGATCTGGACCTCTTCAAGGGGGGCTCCTTGGCGTGGTGAAGAGGCTCTTGGTCTGAGGAATTAGACCTGTCGGTCTCCTTCCTCAGACCGAACCTAATTACCCCCCAATCCCCCATCCTCCCCTTTTTCCTTTCCTCCTCCTCCTCCCCACCCCTCCCTTTTGCCCTTCCTTTTTGGCCTTCGGGTTTTCCCCCCCCCCACAGGCACGCTAGTTCCAAGGTAGGGGAAAGGGGTACCGGGGTCCATCCCATTCCGTTGAGGTTCTTGGCAGTGGCGATTTTTGCTGGGGAATCTTTTGCCTGGGATTTCCCGATCCCTCTCCGTACCCCCGGAGGGTGGTTTTGGGGTGTCTCTCGGGCAAAAGGGGTGTATCTCTGGAAGCCACCTTTCGTTCCGGGGGGGGGTGGCCGAAGGGGTATGCTTTGTGTGGTTTCCAGCCCCCTCTCTTTTGTCCACCAAGGAGCTGGGCAGATGTGAGGTTGCTACCCGTTTGCGGGTTTTTTGGGCCAATTGGGTAGGTGGAAATGGTTCCTGCTGCATCTGCACTACTTGTGTCGAGGTCCTCTTGGGCACGGAGGGAGTTTTTCTGGCCCTTTCATTCCTCCTAGGAACTACCCCTCCCGATCCCCCCTTTTTTTTTATTCTTTTTTTTTTTTTTTTTTTTTTCTTTTTTTTTTTTTTTTTTTAAAAAACAAAAAGGAGGAAGTAACCTACCAGGCAGCCAGTCCATAACCGCTACCCCCGGGCCCCTTCTTAACCGCACCCCGTTCTGACCCCGCCTCGTTTTTGGGGGCCCTCTTTGGACACCCTCACCTCTTACCTCTTGCCAGTGCTGTTTCCCACCCGCTTCAGGTACTGGGGCCCTCGACGCTCCTTCGATTTATCTGACCTTTGCTCTCCTCTGACTATGTTCCACCTCCCCCTCTACGGTGCGGCAATTTTTCGAACGCCGACCCTTCCACAGGGGAACAACTCTGGTCCCATGCCAAAACCCAAAAGACTTTTTCCCCCTTCGATGATACTTCTCCACCTTCTCTTCTTCTCAGAAAGACGACACCTCCTTCACAAACCTTTCCACCTCAGTTTCAGACGCACAAGGGACTAAAATTCTTCACTTTCGCCGACTTTCTCTACTCCTTCTTTCTGACCACATATTGGAAGGGAAACCCCTCGCCATTTTGGGAAAGATATTTCTTTTCATGCCTTAAAGGGGGGTGTGCACATCCTTACAAAAGTCCCCGGGCTCAGAGCTTTCTAAACTTCCCATATCGATATGTTCCTGTCACTGTTGAAAAACACATTCCATCAATTCTTGTAGGGGAACCGCTTCTGCCCCATACCATATTTCAAAAAAATTTCCAGACATGGCCGACTTTCTTGAACAGCTGGAACTAAAGATCTCCCAACCTCAAGGTAGACATTTTACTTTCTTCCTGCCAGTGGGGGGAGATGATACCCTAGCAATGTGGCTCTTTTAATTTTTTGACGCTGTGAATTTCCCATCCCATTTTTAGGAGAGGACATGGGGTTACAATTTTGAAAGTGACCCCCTACACCGCAACAGTGTAAAATTGCGGGCGTTTTGGCCAACCACAAAATATTGCAGACTATCGCCAAATGCCCGTTTTGGGGTGCCGATGACCTTTCTAATACGTCTTAAATCGGCCCCCCTCTTCCCTTAAATTTGTCATGACCACCTTTCATATCTCGCCTTGTCAAGTCTACTTAAACAAGGGGGAAATCTTTTACCTCAGAGGCAGAAGGTCTCCCTTATGCCATGCAGTTTCTCATTTTCCCCCCCCAAGGGAACTACCTCGGTTTCTTATTCCCGTGTTCAAAACGTACCCCCATTTCGGTATCCCTCTTCTGCACCCACCTTTTGGGTTACCTCCCCCAAGTCACCCCTTTACTAATTCTTTTGCTGTCCTCGGCTCAGCTCCCTACTTCAACGCCTCTCTGATCTCGCTTTTTTCTGTTCTCTCTCACAACCCTCAGTACGACGAGATCTCGTAGACACCCCCTCCCAATCGCCCCTCTATTTTTCAAAAGTAAAAAAAGGTCCGTTACACCTCCACCCATTTTTCCACCCCCCATTTTACCTTCCCGTCTCTTACCTGGTTCTCCCCCTCTCACGGGCTCTGTTACAAAGGTAGAGGTTAAACCCCCTCCTCGTACGTACCTTTCCCCACTGTTCCCCCCAAAGTTTCTTCCCTTCGCCACCCCCCCGGGTTTCTGCCTCTTCGCCCCCCCTTTCCACGCTTCCCATTTTCCCTCCACCCTTTGGGGCCCCCCCCCCCTACCTTGGTAGAGTCCAATACAGTTCCAATCTTTACTCACCCCCCCAAACCATTTTCCAATATTTTCCCCCTAACGACGTCCTAAATTCTGAAACACTTGAAAAATCTCTGAATTATTGCGGGAACCAAACCACAAGACCGATCCACCCTCCCTCCTTCTCTCCTCTGCCCATCTCCCAAACCCCTTTCTCACAGCGCACCATTCCTTCACTGCTTAAATTTTTTCCACTGCCTCCCAGGACTTTTCTAACCCTCTAGCCTGGGAAACCCCTTTACCTGTGTTTTCAGGTACTTTATCATTGCCAATCATGGCCTTTTCAGTGGAATATATGGGGGCCCTCAGGGTAATGGGGGTGAGTTTCAATGTTACTTCCCATTTTTTCCCCCGTTGTGTTTCTTACAAACCAAAATTCACTCTGCTTTTTCCCTCTCCCACTCAGGCTAAATTTATTGTATTCTTCAGACCCTTTTCCTGATGGACTTTTAAAATAAAAGTGCCCTTCTTCTATGCACGATATTCCATACCACACATTTGTTCGACTTCGCTGCTTTACACACAGCCCTATCCACTTGCATAGGTGTATACGCTCTGTTCTTTATTTCTCTCCTTCTGGGGGCATTATCTTTTCCCGGGATATTCCCTTTCTTGTTTCGTCATTACCGCCCTGTTCTGTTACTTGGGATTTTAATCCCCCCAACATTTTTTTTTGGGGGGGGGTCTCACTGATTCCCGGGGCTTCAGGGGCTTTTTTCCCACCCACCCCCCCATTTTTTTAAATACAGGTACTCACACCCATTTTGATCCCGGCCGCACTCGTTTCTTGCACGATCTCTCATCTGCTCTTCCCCGCCGCATTAGACTTCCCCTTGGTCTTTTCCCCCCGGACTTACATGACAGCGATCTTTTTCCCAATCAATCATTCTTACCCCCCCTTAAATTTTCACCCCTCTTCGCACCCCACTTTGGAAATTTTTTTTATCGGGCAAAGGGGAAAACCTTTACTCACACCAAAATTTTTAAGAGGTTCCTTCTTCCCCCCATCGTGACTTTTACACCTCTTTCCGTCCTCCTTTTAAAAACCGCACTTCTCATTCATCCCCCAAAATTTTGGGGCAGCATTTTCAAAAATGCGTGCCTTGGTTCTCCTGTTTGTGCTCTGCATACTTTGAAAGCCTGAAATGGGGGGGGACCAGTACAATTGAACCACAACTTCTTGATTTTAAGCAAACGGCGATCGTTTCGCTGTGTCATCCGTGACGCAAAAACGCACTTGGGGCGAGATTATGTCTCCCCATCACCTCTTTCCTCTATGATGCAGTCTGGAAAAAAGTACAAAAACTGAGGGGTAAATATTCACCCGGCCCTGTTCTGCGGTTGCCGGTGTTGATATAGCAAACCCACTGATGTTGCCAATAAAATTGGCAACTCTGGTCTGTATTTCTCAGGACTCCATCTATCCCCCTCATTTCTTTCCTCAAAGTCTGCCAAGAGTTAGCACCCTTGGATTTTTTCTTCTCTCAAGAAGAAAGAAAAATGTCCTTTTACACTTCAAGAACTGGAGGCAACACACTCAGCTTCCCATCATCGGCACTGGGCCCGACGACATTCATACTAGCTACAACTTTTCCATCAGTCGCCCTGCGTCCTATTATGCCTTTACAATCTTATTTGGTCACAAGGATTTTTCCACAGCTGTGGAAATCCGCCATTTTTCTCCCCCTTTCCCAAAAACCACCACTAGGGGACATGAAACCCCCCACAAACGCCCATTGCCTTACCAGGCATTTTGAAAAGTGTGGAACACCTATAAATAGACGTTTAGTTTTGTTTTTAGAGACACACAACTCTCTCCACTTGTAAATATGGTTTTCGTAAGGGACGTTCTACCATAAGACCCCTTACTACATTTGGATACGTAGTTCGTAATCCCCTTTGCAAATAACCACTGGGTTTATTCCCATATTTTTTTGACCTTGAAAAGGGCATTACAATTGGGGGTATAATTTTTTGGCCCCAAGCCCACTCCTTAGCCTTCGAGGCAATTACCACCTTCCTTAAGAACTTTTTACTGACAGGCATTTCCGTTTGGGGTAATAATGGCTCCCCCGACTTTTTTCCAACTAAGGGTCCCCCGGGGATGGTTCTGACACAACACTTTTCTCCTTGTTTTTAAATTTAATGTTTTGGGCCCTCTATCTTCCATCAAAAAATTGGTCATCACTATTTTGATGCTTCGCTATTGCCTGGCAGGCGCTGACTGTCACCTCTTACAGTTTTTCTCCACATGCATCGCCCCTGTTTCCAAATTTGGGGCCCCACACTGGGTTTAAAAAATTCCCAGCCTAAAACCCCCAAATTTTCTTTCATAGACGCTCTGCCCAAACACCTTTGTACCTCATGCTCCCCCTACCCGAACGTGATACAGTAAATTTCTGGGCCTCCTCTTTGACGAGTTACCGGAAACCTCACATTACCTCTCTGAAGGGAACTTGTCACAGCCAGCGAAACCCTTTTTAAAACCCTGCTCACTTTCTGGGGGGGGTGACGCAACCCCCTTCGCCTACATTTCCCCCCTTATTTTAAACAAAACTTGATTATGGGGACCCAAACTATTTAAGGGGGATCTCCTGCTACTCTCTCTACCTTAACCCCATTCATCACCAAGATTAGTTTTTGCCTTTTGGGGCTTTTCGCTCTTTCCCTGTCGAGACCCTATGCAGAAGCGAACGTTCCCTCCTTACCTCGCCATGAGCCCATTGCCTTTGCTACTATTACGCTCTCATGATCTCCCCCCAAACCCTTCCTTTAAGAAATTTTCACTGATATTAGTAACATTCTTTATTTTTTTCGCCGCCCCTGTTTTCTCTTCCCTTCTCTCTTCACCTTTATTTGCTCTTGCTTCCCCTTTAATTTCCACCTTTCATGTTCATGTAGCATCTCGCTTTTTTTCCCCACCCCCCCGGGAAGTTCCGCTGTTTTGAGTTTTTCTTTCCTCTCCCGGGTCGAGAGCCCCAAAGTCTACGGTCCCCCCTTCCCCCTCTTTCTCTTGCCACTTTTACTCCATTCTCATGCCCTTGCTGTGTACACAGATGGCTCTAACTTCTGACGGCGTAGGATTCGCAGCAGTGTTTCCGACACTCGTACAAGGGGATTTACTATCTTCGCATATTTTTACTGCTTAATTGTATGCCATCCTTCAACCCCTTTTTCTTTTATTTCATCATGCCGTGTCACTTTGGGTTGTCTCAGCTCCCTTATGCTTTTCAGGGTATACAAAAAAATTTTTACACCTCACCCCTAGTCCTCCTATCCAAATTTGGGACGCCGCATCTTACCAAGCATAAAGAAATTTTTTTTTGTTGGATCCCTGTCATTTGACGTACAGGGGAAAGAACAGGGAGACACTGTCGTGGTCAGCATACATACCTACCATTTCATAAGAGGTATTTTCCCTTTTCGGCATTTTGCTGCAATACTTCCACCTTCACACCCGTGGGAACACCATTGGTCTACATGCTCGGGAACAAACTTCAAACATTAAACCAAGTATAGGTTTCTGGCTTCTTCTTATACCATGTCGAGGTTGGGGGATTTCTCTCCTGTCTTCGCATTGGCCCTACCGTCTTACTCATGGGGTATATCATGGAGAGGCCCCGCTCCCCCTTAAATTTTCCCAAACTCCATTATAGTCGGGCCCCATTCTGTTGGGCGCTCACTTTATCACGAGCACGCAGAAATTTTCCTCCGTCGTCGTCTTCGCTCGCTGCCCTCTTTTCCTTTTCCCCTTTTAGCTGATGGACCCCCTTCCATCCGGACTCTCTCATTTAGTTTTGACAACGACTTACTTCACAAATTCTATCCTTTACCTTTCTACTTCCCTTTTCTTGCTACCCTCTACCCCCGTACATCCCCCCGCCCCGCTTTTTTCTGTAACCCAGATCATCCCTCTCCCTTTTGCCACCAATACCCTCGCTTCCTTCCCCTACCCTGCACCTGTAACCCTTGTGGCTTTTGCGCTTCTTCTTTATTATAAAAAATCATAAAGATCTGGGGACCAAATAAATATGATGCTAATCAAAATCTTACTACTCCCCTCTTGATTATAATAATAATAATAAAAATCTTACTCTCTCAACCCACGGTCAATACTGAAAATTCTCTTTGCAGTGTATGGCTGTACAACTACAAGGAACATATGGTTACTATAATTAGCCTATGGGGAACTGCAACTAGGGATGATCACACCTATAGCCAAGCTGGTGTACTAGACTACCTCTGAGGCGGAGGGAGTGGTAGGAAGTGTCACCCTGGAAGTTGACCGGTCCCACTGCCCAGATAACAGCCTGGGACCCGTTGGTGAGAATGGCTGTGTCGTAGCGGTCGACGGCTCGTAGGGGCCTCTGGAAGGTCAGCATAGTGAAGTTGTTGATGAGCGCTGCGTTCAGCAGGCGGACGTTGTTGCGGCTGCCCTGAAGGAGGAAATAAGGCGAATGTCAAACACAGAGTCGATGTTGGGTGTCAATATTTCCTAATAACTGTTGGTTACACACAAGAGTTTGCTAAGTGCTAAAACTAGAAACAAAATGCTACCAAATACTTTAAATTTTATTGGGATCTGAAAGAAATTATGTTAAACAGTTACAATATCAAAGTACCACTTTCCATAATACCTCAACGAAAACGTAGTTAAATTTATAGACTCATGATCTTTAAGGATAGGGAGGAAAGAGGCTGGGATTCAAACCTGATTACTTCCCCATCCTCTTAATACAGCGGGCTTTCTGTGACTTTGTGTCAGGGAGATCCTTGGCCCCCCTGGCACGTGCCTTTCCGTGAGGTAGTACCCTCCCACCCCCTCTGCCACTTCTGGTCGAGCAAGCCACTACCACTCCCCGCCGACCAAGGGGCCGACCGGTCAGTGAACCAAGGCTCCGAATGACATGTACTGGCCCCCAGCTGCAGGGAAAAGCAGTTGCGTGAAGGGGGGAAAGTAGCCCAGGCTTGTATTTAAATCAGTTGCGGGTCCTCATATACTAAAAAAAAACCCCCAGGCAACACGTTCTTTTCCGCAACCTTATACCTACCAACCTTCTCTGCCTCAAATTAAAAGCATCTTCCCTTTGGGATTCGCTGCATTATCTTATCATTTTTAAAAAGTTTCAAGACACTATAATCAAATTTCTATAAATTAAAAAACATCTAAAGCCATTTCCGTTTTAAAACCTCTCCCAGCATCTCGCTTCAAAAACTTTTAATGTAAAAGCATGTCCCCGATTAAGCCTTACAAAACTGTAGCTGTACTGCTTCAGAAACGGGAGATCTGACTGGGGGTCATTTGAATATTATGTTTTTGTCTGGGCGGTCTGCATTAGTTTTCTCAGAAGGCCTTCCCTGATCTGATTTGCCATTGGTTTAATTTACAGGTCCCTGTGGGTCTGCCAAGGTTAATTCAAGACAAAAGCTTTTCTGATGAACAGGGGCAAAAAGTTTTTTTTTCAACATGCAAGTAATTTTGGTTGAGGTAAGCGAGACTTTAAATCACAGTAGGCAAGAACTTTTACTCCCTTTGGTTTTCCCATTACGCCTCAAAAAGCTAGACCTAACATTTGTTAATAATTAAATAATAAACCCGCACTCTGGGACCTGAAATTTGGGACTATTTTATTTTTGTTTACTTCTGGGGCCCCCAAAAAAAATAATTATTACAGTACATTTATTTTTATTTTATTACACACTGACCGATTCCCCCCCAAGAGGTGCCCAAAAAAAAAAACTTTTACCACATTCCTCCAACACTGTCTTGCCAAAAGGGGGCTTTACACTACAGTTTTTAAAAGAACATTAACACCCCCCTTCAATGCAGGCACTGACTTTTTTAGACCTTTACCCACACTCCGAGGGATCCCACAGTGAACCTCCCAGTGTTATCCCAGTTTCTTAACAAATAGGGAATAGCATATGGAGGTACAAAAAAGAATGGGAAAATGGATAGTTTACTTTAAAATTTATAAAAGGGCTAAACAACATATCCGATGGGCATTTACATAATAAACAATTACCCATAACTTATTTCCCGGGGGAAAAATAGATGTTTTCAGTAACACGGACTAGTATCACCTTAATTTTACACTAGCTTCCCAAATTCCCCAAAGCGTGGTCCATTCACACGCGGCTGTCCAGAGCTCCGTTCCCCTGACCTGTCACCAGCAACCCCCTTCTCAGCGTTCCCCGGGCTTAATGATAGTCCAACACCCCCCCCCCCCCACAAAGAAGTGTCGCACATGGTTTGATCTGACACTGAGGTCTGACGCCATCCAGAACAAAAGACCTCAGTCTTAAGCCGAAAAGGCGTGGCTGACAGACGTTTGCCAAGGCAAGGTGTGACCATATAATTGGTTAAATTAGGTCTCCCCAGAGACCTCACAAGCCCAGCTGAACTACATCACAACTTCCCATCTCCAGGACTCAAGTCCGGCCTGCCGGTTTCCCTGAATCCCTTCATAAATGTTACTTTGCTCACACTCCAACAGCACGTCGAGTATTAAAAACCATTTGTCTCCATTCACTCCTATCAAACACGCTCACGCATGCCTGCTGGAAGTCCAAGTCCCTCGCACACAAAACCTCCTTTACCCCCTCCCTCCAACCTTTCCTAGGCCGACCCCCTACCCTTCCTTCCTTCCTTCCTTCCACTACAGACTGATACACTCTTGAAGTCATTCTGTTTCGCTCCATTCTCTCTACATGTCCGAACCACCTCAACAACCCTTCCTCAGCCCTCTGGACAACAGTTTTGGTAATCCCGCACCTCCTCCTAACTTCCAAACTACGAATTCTCTGCATTATATTCACACCACACATTGCCCTCAGACGTGATATCTCCACTGCCTCCAGCCTTCTCGCTGCAACATTCATCACCCATGCTTCACACCCATATAAGAGCATTTAAAACTATACTCTCATACATTCCCCTCTTTTCCTCCAAGGACAAAGTTCTTTGTCTCCACAGACTCCTAAGTGCACCACTCGCCCTTTTCCCCTCATCAATTCTATGATTCACCTCATCTTTCATAGACCCATCCGCTGACACGTCCACTCCCAAATATCTGAATACATTCACCTCCTCCATACTCTCTCCCTTCAATCTGATATCCAATCTTTCATTACCTAATCTTTTTGTTATTCTCATAACCTTACTCTTTCCTGTATTAACTTTTAATTTTCTTTTGCACACCCTACCAAATTCATCCACCAACCTCTGCAACTTCCTTCAGAACCCCCAAGAGCAAAGGTCACAGAAAAGAGCAAACTGAAACCTCACTTTGGTGGATTCTTTATCTTTTAACCCACACCTCTCAAGACCCTCGCATTTTTTCTCTTAAAACCCCCACTATAAAATATTAAACAACCACGGTGACATCCCCAACCCCGTCAAACTACTTTTAGGGGGAAAAACCCCCTTTTTCCCCACATACCCCTTGGCCTCACATCCTCGAAAAAACTCTTCACTATTTTTTCGTAACCTCCCTCCTACACCTACACCTGCAACATTCCCCCCCCCCCTATTCACCCTCCCTACCCCTTTTCCAAAACCAAAAAATGCCAAAAAAACCTCTTTGGGCCTTATCTAAATACTGTTCACTTTTAGTTTCACTGAAAAACACCTGGTCCACACCCCCCCCTATTTTCCCTAAAGCCCCCTTGTTCATCTGCTATCCTATTCCTGCTTACTTTTAATTCTTTCAATAATAACTAATCACTTTCCCAGTATATCAACGACTTTCCCCTATAATTTTTGCACCTTTTGTCCCCTTTCCCTTTATATAAAGGAACTATGCATGCTCTCTGCAATCCCTAGGAAACTTACCCTTTTCCATACATTTATAAGTAATTGCCCCAAACCCCACCCCAAAACTATATCCCCCCGCTTTTAACTTTTCTATCTTTACCCCATCAATCCGGTTTGCTTCCCCCCTTCATTTTACCTACTGCCTCACAACTTCCCCACACTCACAACTGTCTTCCTCACCCCTAAAAGATGTTAGTCCCCCTTTCCCCCATACACGAAACACGCTTCCCCATTTTTTAACAATTCCCAAAATTTTCCCCCCATTTTCCCCAATACCTCAAAACTCTCCTTTAAAAACACTCCTCCCTTTTTTTAACTGAAAATCCATTTGTTCTCTAGGTTTCCTCAGCTTGTTAATCTCACTCCAAAACTTTCTTTTTTTCAACAAAAAAATTTGTTGAAAACATCTCCCCCACCTCATTTGCCTCTTTAATGTTCACTACTCTCCAAACCCTCTCTCTTTTTCTCCATATCCTTCCAGTACTATAAATCAAAAAGAAGCGCTAACCCATACAGTAAATAAAACCCAAATGGTTTTTAAAAAAATTTTGCATTCCCACTTCCATAAATTTGCGGAAGACACTTAGGCTAAAGGGAACACACCCTAACCTAACTCCGGGCACTAGAATTTTTATGATGGCCACCAAAAAATACGTGTTAGGGGCAAGCATGTTTGGCTAGGTGTGTTTTGGGGAATGATGCTGACAATCCTCTTTTTTTGGGTTCTCCATATGCGTTTCTGAGGCCCCTGTAAATTTCCGCCCCAATTTCTTCACAAGAATTTGAAATTTCAAAATTTATAAATTTGAGGCTATGTATATCCCATTTAGGCCCAGAAAACGCCGAATTCCTGGTGCAGAAAATCCCACCAGCTTCACATTAAAATTAAATATGGCGTCTCTTGCATCCCCCTTTGCGTTTTACCCGTTTTCCCCCCCCCCCTTCCCACTAAAAATTTTCTGAAAAAGGGGGCAAATCCATATTTTATTACACTATTTATTTTTGTACTTTTGGGAAAATTTTCAAAATATCTTCGGGGCAGGAGATTTGTCGGCCCCAAAGAATTACTTTTGGAAGGGCAGAAGGTAAGGATACACCATCACTCACAAGGAAGTGCAACATTAGTATTTCATTTAGATCCCAACGGGCCGTGTAGTGTCTAGGTTCAGGAGGCGTTGTAGTGGGATCCATCCAGAAATTTTAAATGGTAATGGTAATACAAATTCTTATGTTACAGCAAGCCTAATCATATCACCCACAACTTGAATTTACCAAGTAGCGGGTTTTAAAATTTTTTAATTATTTTTTTAAATGTTTAGCTTTTTGTGAGCGGTGGGAGTGGGCATCGAGGAGTTCCCAATCCTCAACCTACTGAATTTAAATCCCATTATCTTGCTGTAATAATTCGGGTAATTGCATGACACCTCTGCAGGTAATTTGCCCCAAAAAATAAGCCCAAAAAATACTTTAAAGGTCAGCACCAGTCTGAAGAAAATGCATAAGAGGGACATTTGCCTAGTGACTTTTTACCGTGAATGGTCCAAGGTCACCTTTATTTGCAGCGACTTTGTCGTCGTCTTAAAAACCCACGCATGCGCTGGTAACTGTAAAAAACACCGGGGAAACCCTTTCCGGGACCCTCG